TTTATCTAAAAATTGTAAGTTTGAAGCAAAATATATGATGTTTATATTCAAAATGATCACCAAATTATAAGAATTCCAGCAATGTAAATCATATTCTGACCGGGTAATTTGTATGAATTTTATGAGCTAAAACAAATATCTTCAGTTAATAAAAAAAAAATAATCTTCACGACACTATCTGTCAATCAAAGTACCCCACCTTGCCTCCCCCCCTCTTCCAACCGCGCGGTCAGTCCCAACCCTCCCCCCCACCCCCCACCAATCCTCCCTTCCAGAGTTTTTAACATTTAGTATTAAATAATACCTCAGATTAAAGTTAGGATAATATAATTGACATTGCTGGATTCCTTGTAAGACCAGGAATATTTTGAATATAAATGTCATATATTTTGGACAAAAGATACCATAGTTACCTAGAGAAAAATTTTTATCTAAAAATTGTAAGTTTAAAGCAAAATATATGATGTTTATATTCAAAATGATCACCAAATTATAAGAATTCCAGCAATGTAAATTATATTCTGACCGGGTAATTTGTATGAATTTTATGAGCTAAAACAAATATCTTCAGTTAATAAAAAAAAATAATAATTCTTCACAGGGTAACAGATGGTCGGTTGGTCCCTCCCTCCCCCCCACCCCCCACCAACCGTCCCAAGGAGATGTGTGGGATAACCACTAAATTTTAATAAATAATACCTCAAACTAAAGTTAGGATAATATAATTGACATTGCTGGATTCCTTGTAAGACCAGGAATATTTTGAATATAAATGTCATATATTTTGGACAAAAGATACCATAGTTACCTAGAGAAAAAATTTTATCTAAAAATTGTAAGTTTAAAGCAAAATATATGATGTTTATATTCAAAATGATCACCAAATTATAAGAATTCCAGCAATGTAAATTATATTCTGGCCTGGTAATTTGTATGAATTTTATGAGCTAAAACAGGCAGTCAGGCAGAGTGGCGGGTGGGGCAAATCTAAAAATAGCGTCTCGGACACTCACCGCGTATATGTGGAAAAAATCCGCGTTAAGTGAAAGTTCAGCTTTGGCAAGGCACCGCGTATATGCGAAAACGCGTTAAGTGAAACCGCGTTAGGCGGGGTAAAACTGTATATATATATATATAAAATAATATACAAATATGGGGTATATATAGGGCGGCCCAGGGTTGTTATGATTTAAATCAAATGATTTAAATCAAAATGATTTTTTTACTAATAACTGTTTTCTCTTTTTATTCTACATGATTGAAAAGTATATGCAATGCAGCAGGCTAATAACATTATTTGGATTTACAGAATTATGTACTGTACTATAGTCTGTTCTCTCCAGTTTTGCGAAACTTTGATCATATCATAAGGTCTCATTATTAATGTATATATTTACATGAAAAATATTGTTAACTAAGATAATAAATACTATTGAAATTCAGAAGAACTGTAGTATTCTCTTCTCCCGGCATTATATATCAGTCAATAAAGAGCAAGGGGCTGTACATTTTTGCAAAGCTAGAGTGAACAGGCTGTAGGTGCTAGGCTATACATATTCAGATATTCTATTTTTATCACTTAGTATGTTCTTTTTAAACAACATAAATATTATTTCTGATCAAAGAAGCATAACTGGTTTTGTGACAAAAACAGTGGAGCACGAATAGTTTATCAAGATGATTAAAATGCTAAGACCAGGATATGTTCCACCTAATAAGACATCAAATTGGAGGGTCTCTTTTGGATCAAGCCTATGATTCAGTGATTAAGAATTATTCAGAAGAACTTAGTGGGAAAACAGTTTGCATGGCCATTAGGGTGTCATAGGAGGGAAGATCAGCTAAAACTAATGGCCCATCACTTTTTTGGTAGATTTTAGTGTATATAAACAGAAAATAATTTCAGTTTCAATATTTTGCAACCTTTTGCTAGGTAAATTTTAGCGTGAAATTTATCGAAAATCTAACGTACAGCTGCATTAGTGCATTACAATTAAATAGTGAACATTGCTTTCTGACTTCATTCTTTAACAACCCAACTAACAATATTTTTTCTGTTTCAGATTCTGATGCATTTATAAGTTGATAATATTTGCGATGGCTGCTTGTGTCAGGACGAGGAACCAAAAATCCAGCCATCTCAGTCACTATCTTGGGTCTGGGAGAGAGCTCCTGAAGTCGGAGTTGCCTACATTGAGAGATGCTTTGAGATCACAGAAGATGGGATAAATGCACTCATACTGTCCTGTATAACCCCAGCAATGCTGTCAGCACATACCGAGGCGTCCCGAGTGGAAAAGCAACATTCATCCCAAGGAAAGTCGGTGAAGAATTCTCGCAAGGATTGCCAGCTTGCCCTCCGATAGTGCCATAGTTGACGTTTAGAGGGGGTGGGGGAGGTGGTTGTGCCCATTTTGATTTAATAGAAATAAGGTTGTGATCAGAAGACCCCAAGGGGGCAGAAATTGAGTATGAACAGTGTGAGGGGTTAGAGGTAAAACAAAGATCAAGAATGTTACAAGTTGATCGTGTCGATCAGGAACGCGTGTAGGGTGTTTGATTATTATTTCCAAATCATTAAGTAGGGAAAAAGAGAGTGCCTCAGCTCCACCTGGGTCATCCCTTGCAGAGCCAAGCCACTCTCTGTGATGTACATTGAAATCCCCTAGGTAGAGGATCTCGGTGTTGGGGTGTGTGGATAGCAATGACTCATGGCAAGAATTAAGATAGCCCAAGAGTTCGAAATAGTTGGTAGAGTTGGGAGAACAGTATAAGAAACAAAGAAAAATAGTCACAGTTGGTAGAGATACTTTGAGCCAGATGACATCATAAAGGGAAGATTCAAGATCTGTGAGTCGAGCTAAAGGTGTACGTGTGTTGCAGTAGGCGCATACACCTCCCTTAGAACGGAAAGAGGTATAAAGGTTGTAGTTGGAGACTTGAAAAGGTTTGGGTGAACCTGCTTTGGTCAGTTGAAGTTCGGAAAGTAGTAAGAGGTCGGGGGAAGAGATTAATAAATGGTGCTCCACAGAAGGAAAATTGGATTTCAGGCCGCGAATGTTGGAAAAATGAAGTGTGAAAAAAGCCGATCCTCCAGTAACCGCTGTGCCGTCAGTTGAGGCCCCAGTAGCTTGATGATGATCTGGTCGGCCTTGGGGTCCACAACCTTCCCAACCAGTGGAACCCATCCGAGAAGGCCCAGCTTCAATATTAATATCAACTGACTTAGGAGAATAAAAGAGATTGAATAAAACAGATCAAGAATGAGTACGGTTATATTTGTGGTGTTGTCAATAGTAAGAGAGACAGTTGAGACCCTGCAATTGTGGGTAATTGAGGCAGAAAGATAGATCAGCAACCTGGGACTTGATCACATTTTTCGTAATGCCATATGACAGCAGGGTCTACCATTAGGCAATACATTATGCTTCCAATATCTTCCCAGGCAGTAGTACCTCCCTGTTTGGTAGCTGCCTACTACCTACTACCTGCATCTCCATATGCCCTGGTTTATTCACTAATCAGTTGCCTAAGTTCAAAAGTAGCCAATTCAAGCCAGCATTTATCAATTAATTTTAAAATAGAAATTATAAAGTAAAATGTTATAAGACAATGGTTTAGTAGTGCTGTTAAAGTCTGTGCTGTGTAAGTGTCTAGTCATGTCACCACAACTACTGCCTCATCACCTCGCCACCTGACTTGTCACCTCACCCTTTCCCTCGTTAGCTCAGCTCGGAATTACATTGATTTTTTACTGTATTATTTTACTTTTTTAGTCTTGTATGTACAATGAAAGACAAAAGTCGTGTCGTGAAATTTGGTGAAAACATATGCCGAAGGGCTAAAACTTTTGGTGCGCTCTGCCTTGTGGTAGGGCTCTCATTATGTTTCACAAGTTATATTTAAGCTTTGGACAAAACAGCGACCCAACTTTTGTCTTTGATTGTACATTTAAAGATATATTTATATTTGTACAGTAATGATAAATAGACCCAGAGCATAAAAATCCTACGTTACCCAAGCGGTTGGTCTTCCCACCCACGCACCAACCGTGTGAGAATGCAGCTAAACATGTTGCAATCTTTCATAATGCAGGGAACCCTTGTTCCCAGGCCCTGAGCAGAATGGTTTAGAGTGATTTTCTCCCCATTTTCTCAGATTTTTCAGTAATTGCACATTATTTCATTTGCTCCCAGACCCAGAAATAAAAATTTGGACAGAATTTCTGAAACCCGGAGTTAAGATGATTTCCGAAAAAAATTTGAGCAAATTTAAATTCCGGCTATTGGAGAGTTCCGGTTAAGAGGGATTCCAGCTAATAGAGATATTACTTATGTAAGATTTTTTTTTTGCCTTCAGTTCAAATCGGTATTCTTAAAATTTATAATGTATGACTTTGACCTGTTTTTTAAGAACTTTTATTATTTTTTTTTAAACTTACTTTAAAATGCTCTATTAAGAAGCCCAAGGATTATAAAAGTTGATTTGCCAATTCATAGCTTTATTTGTGGATCAACCAATCCTGTCTCAAGCCTTTTCACACCTTTAAGTTTGATATACATGTGTGTGGACTTTCCATGAGGAAAATTCACAGAGGACTATTTTTCCCCCAGCTTATTTATAATAGCCACAATCATTTCTGTCGTGTCAGGTGCAGGAATGTAACTTCATATTCCGTCAAGTTTCCTCTGTACTTACTGGAAGGGAAATACTGTATTACTGTATTGTACTGTACTGCATACACTAATCAATAAAGGTTAGAGCTTGGCTGTTAGGTATAGTAGGAAAAGGTACGCAATATGACATTTAGAACTTAAACATTTAATTTTTAATCAAGTCCCTCCAAAGAGGATCAGCCATCACTGAAGTTAATACCTGATCATTGACTGTGAGTTAAATTATCAGATAGTGCTATGTTTAGGATGTTATACAAATTTTGTATGAATCTTTTATACAGTTTTTGTGTTAGTAATATTAGCCTTAAGCATTTTTTAGCAGATGGAAGTCGAAGTGCAGCCTTGATGGGTTTGTTTGATGAAGGATCTGTACTACCTGGAGACCTACAGAGAGGGGACAATCAGGCCAACATGCTTGATAACCCTTGGAAAGGAGCAGAAGCTTATCATTTTCTCCTTTTGGCACAACGGCAACTTTATGAAGGTTTGTTTATGATGGATTGTAGTGTCTTTTTGGAAATATTTCTGGTGTTATATTGTTAATTATCAATGTTGTATTATTCTAACTTCACTTTCACATTAGCTCTCACAGAATATTTTTTCTTTTGTTTTAAATTGTTAGGTACAGTGGGGTATGCTATAACGAACGAATCCTACTACAAATATTCCTATAACGAATGGTTTTACCTATAAACTTGAGAATGCTATAACGAACGAAACTCCTACAACGAACATTATTTAAAAAAAAATTTTTTTTTTTTTTTTTTACTAATTTATTGTTTTTTTATTACAAATATTAATGATATTCTTTATTTCAGGGGTTTAGATGCATATTTATGCACTTTTTTACAATTTTTACAATTTTATATTATATTTTTCAGTGTTAAGTGGTTGTATTTGGGGGCCTGGAACGGATTAATCCTATAACGAACGAGTGCTATAACGAACAAGGTTCTAGAACCAATTAGATTCGTTATAGCATACCCCACTGTACTATTATCTCCATTATTCTTCTGTTCTTATACCAAATGTTTTCACTGCTTTTAAATTGCTGATATTTTTCTTGAAGTTATCTTTATAATATTCCCCAAGTCATCAACTGACTATCCATCTTGCATACTTTTATCCCTCATATACTATTTACTCACACTTTCATCAGTTTCTTCTCTAACCTTTAACCTGCATACTGGATTGGCAGAGCAGGAAATAAGGGATGATGGCCTTTTAGGTAGAATAGGAGATGGAGAGTGTGGGGAGTCTTGGGCATGGCAGAGGGTGGACAGTAAAGGTTGATGGACAGGGTAGGGCAGTGAGGAGTGATAAGCAGAGTTTTTTAATGAAACAGAAATACAGATGATGTCTTGGGGGTCAACAGTGTCAAAAAGAAAGTGTACACCATCCTGCAACCCTCCCTCTTGGATCCACTTTTGCTACAGATAACATGAAGCCATAGACACCAACACCCTAGTGGGGACTGCCATTTAGTAGTGTTAGTAGTGGGGGGGGGGCTTGAGGTCCTTCCCATACTGGAAGGGTCATGAGGGAGGGATGAGACTAAATGGTTCGCTTAAGCTGCTAGCCTTGAGAGCTGGCTAGTGGCACTTTTCCTCTGGCCCGGTCCACCAAGGCTGGAGAGTAACTCTCCCATGTGTTTGCCATATGTGTGACCCGGCTGGGAGACGGGAATCCTGGAGGTTAAGCGATGCTGCGCACTGCGTCTTGTGGCTAGCAACACACCTCTTTGGTCCCTTATTCTGGTTAGACCGAAGGCTTGATTTGCAGTTCAGTCAAGTCAATCGGCTGGCATTTGGGCCGGTCATTTGGCTATAGTCAAGTGGGTACCACAAATTTGACACCCTTTTGGTTCCACGGGTGTCATCAGACTTAATGGTAATCTGTGTATACCTCCCCATTATCCCTAGGGCCATTTTGGAGCCATTGGGCTCTGTGGTGGGTGGATGGGGTGGGGACGTGAAAGCCTGGTAATATAATTATTATGGCATCAACATCCACAAATTCCTGGCCTGACTCCTACCCTATCAACCCTGGATCGTCAATAGACCACTCTTCTGAAACTCTTAATTCTTCTTCTGCCAGCAATGTTGCCAACCCTAGCTTAAACCGGACTTCTCAAAGGACTCTGTGAATAGGGGCTCAGGGATTGCCACTTATAGTTTATCCTCATCCCCAAATCTGTCGAGCAACTTAATGTGCTCGACAATAAGCAGCTGCCACCCAATTTCAACTTTGAAGGAGTAACAGACAAGTTCTGTACATTTGGGCCAATTTCAACAATTACAGTGGGTTCTCTTTTTACGCAGGTCTCATATGCGAGGTTATCGCTTAAGCGATTGGTTGAAATGTCACCACGGTTATTGCTTAGGCAGAAAGCCATGGGTTGTACAGGTAGCAGTATAGCATTAGTTTAGTAATCTTTTGCTTATATACCCTCAAATGTAGTGGTTTTAGTCATTTTAGTTATTGGATATTATAAGTGCATTCTGTAAGTAATACACTATACAGTCAACCCTCACTTTACGCGGTCCCACTTTACGCGTTTCCACGTTTACGCGGTACCCTGCCGAACACGGAATGCTCACTTTCCGCGGTGTGTGTACCCTTTTATGCGGAGAGCGGCGCGAGCAGGGTGCGCACAAGGCCGCCCAGTCATCAAAACATTACCGAGTTCTTCACCCGCCACCCACCACAGCCGGCCCAAGTCAGTGATAGTGATAATGATAGTGAGGATATGGACTTATATGGACTTTGAGGGGTTTGACAAAGAGGCCCTGCAAGCCTCTGTGGTGGATAGTGATACAATTGATACAAGTGATACAGGTGACGGCCAATGATCTGCCCTCTGCCTCGGAACCAACCCCCCATCCCCGTGTGCCCAGCCATCTTTTCTACTAATGTAAGTGTTAAAAAACCTAATATTATTGATATTTCTCTTAATTATTAATTGTGTGTGCATACCATCATAAAATTAACAAGTTATTTTTACTACAACGTAGGTATTGTGTCTGAAAAAGTGGAGTTTGGGGGTCGGCCCGGTCTCTATTTCAATTAATCCCATATGTTATGTTGTTCACTTAACGCGTTTCTCACTTTACGCGGGCCGCCGTGGGTTCAATTGACCGCGTAAAGTGAGGGTTCACTGTACAGTAATACCCCAGTTAGCTCTCAGGATACGTTCCTGAATAATAGAGAGCTATCCAAAACAATGCTGTAAAGGGTCATTATACCTTTGCATATACAGTACAGTACTGTATGGACATGCATTTATGATGATGTTATTTTTACCTATGAGATATATATACTGTACAGTATTGTATGTAAAGGATACAGGTACTGTATTAATAAACACAGATTATTGCAGTAACATATCTCTACTAACTAATAAATAACAAATTAATAACATTTTATCATTACTAACAGTCACTTGTTGAACAAGTGTGAGACATGTGTAGGTGGATGGGTGGGAGGCAGGGAGGGAGGGAGGCAGTGGATAATATACATTTCTACTCTGGCTGAAGTTAAACATCTCTGCATCACTGAAATTATGATTTAGGCGGTGATAATAGAGGTAGTGGTGATGAGGGAAACTGTGGTAAGTGGTGAGGAGGTGATGCGTCTATCAATTTCTTTGGTGACACTGCGCCTGCAGCATTGCTAGAAGCTAGTGAACAGCTGATGTCTACCCACAAAATTGAGTGTAAGTACAATATAAATGAGCAACATTGTATCCTTTCAACTTTAATTTACATAGCATTTTAAAAAAAGAGAGAGAAAGGAGAAAGGTGAGGGTGATTAGAGATGTGGCAGAGTGTTGCCAAGCGATCCTCAACAGCTGATCTTTAACTTGCCACCACGCAGTCACATACTAGTGCATCAGTTAACCACACACAAATTTTTGTCATACAATAAAACCCTCACTCTAGATCCTTTTTTTTTTTTCAATCCAGAATGTGATGTATAGCTTTATGCCAAGGTTAGGTTAGGTTAGGTTAGGTTAGGTTTGTTAATGCCTAGCAATAACTTGCCAGGCCGACATACAGGCAATTAAAACATCTAATAATTACTTAATACGTAATATTAGGACACGTCGCTACCTGGAATTTAATTGCAATTCTCAACAGAGCTTCATCTTTGCTGAAACTTTCAAGTATCTGTACTTGATATTTTCCGATGACTCCCTCCTGACTCTTGATGAGTGGGTGTTGAACATGGAAGCTCATCCAATCCCTAGATTTTAAGGTATAGTAATAAATAATACCTCAGACTAAAGTTAGGATAAAATAATTGACATTGCTGGATTCCTTGCAAGACCAGGAATATTTTGAATATAAACATCATATATTTTGCACGAAAGATAACATATTTGCCCTGTATAAACAAAATTCTTGCATTAGATCTAAAATTTGTATGTCTAATGCAAAATCCATGATGTTTACACTCAAAATGATCATCATATTGTAAGAATTCCAGCAATGTAAATTATATTCTGGCCGGGTAATTTGTATGAATTTTATGAACTAAAACAAATATCTTCAGTAAATAAAAAAAAAATAAACTTCACCCAGACACTATCTGTCAATCAAAATACCCCACCTCTGGCTCCCCCCCTCTTCCTAAGCTTGCTGGGTCCCTCCCTCCCTCCCTACCCCCCACCCCCACCTTCCCTCCCTACCAGAGAAATGTTTGGGTTAAAACTGTATATTTACATTTTTAGTAATAAATAATACCTCAGACTAAAGTTAGGATAATATAATTGACATTGCTGGATTCCTTGCAAGACCAGGAATATTTTGAATATACAAGTCATATATTTTGCACAAAACATAACATATTTGCTCTGTGTAAACAAAATTGTTACATTAGATCTAAAATTTGTATGTCTAATGCAAAATCCATGATGTTTACATTCAAAATGATCATCATATTGTAAGAATTCCAGCAATGTAAATTATATTCTGGCCGGGTAATTTGTATGAATTTTATGAGCTAAATAAAAAAAATTTAATTCACCCGTGTATACGAGTAGATGCACCGCGTAAAGTGCGAATTCCGGTTCTGGCAGGGTACTGCGTAAATGTAGAAATGCGTAAATCAGAACCGCGTAAGGCGGGGTATTAATATATATATATATATATATATATATATATATATATATATATATATATATATATATATATATATATATATATATATATATATATATATATATATATATATATATATATATATATATGTATATATATATATATATATATATATATATATATATATACACAGTTTTACCCCGCCTAACGCGGTTTCACTTAACGCGTTTTCGCATATACGCGGTGCCTTGCCAAAGCTGAACTTTCACTTAACGCGGATTTTTTCCACATATACGCGGTGAGTGTCCGAGACGCTATTTTTAGATTTGCCCCACCCGCCACCCTGCCTGACTGCCTGTTTTAGCTCATAAAATTCATACAA